AAAAAAAAAAAAAAAAAACAAAAAAATACCTCAGAAGAAGAGCTCATTTTGCTGTAGGGAAAAAATGAAAAGGGCGAAATCGTCTAAGGGGGCGGTAATTAATAATAGGGGGGCCATAATTAGCAACACTGAAAATGTGTGGGAAGAGAGAGTAGAAAATAAAATAAGAAAAAATTGGAAAAAATTTAGTAATGAGAGGTTGATGTAAATGAAAAGCGGTACTCATAGAGAAAATGAAAAGTGTGTTGATAAATGTGGGAAAAAGCCCATAATTAGTTGGGATAATCATCAAAGTAAATTGGTCATCAAATAAAAAAATAATTTGGTCATAAAAGTAAATGAAAAGTGGGTTGATAAATGTGGGAAAAAGCCCATAATTAGTTGGGATAATCATCAAAGTAAATTGGTCATCAAATAAAAAAATAATTTGGTCATAAAAGTAAGTCCCAAAATTTCGGGATAATTTGTCCATTTTAACCTTTCCTGGCCGGGCCTACTTTAGGGCTACACGTTAATCCATGGCGAATCAGCTCTACGGCTACTCCGCCCGCGGTTACGGCAGCGGCGCCGGGTCCGGTGTCGGCGAAACTACCACTAACCTCTACACCTTTCGCTCGGGGGCCAATTCCTATCTTTCCGGCGACACTCCGTTACTCGGAACTTCCTCTAGGTACCTGACTGGCGAATCTCTCCCCTCCTCATCTGCTCTGCCCTCTTCATTGCTCTACAACCCCGACAGCTACTCTGCTAGGATCTCCGGCTTATCCATTACCACTCCCACGCACTCCTATGCCCCCCCTGGTGTCGATGCGGCTGCCGACTCCCTTTACGCCGGCGTGAAGCGTACTTCAGCTGAGTGTAAGCAATCTTTTCACTACCTTTGAGTATATTTATGCCTTTATTAATTTAATTTTTGGCTAAGCCTTCTGGAACGACTGTTGTTTGGGTCGGTTGTGTGGAGTTCAATTTGATTGGGTTTCTTAGTCAATTATGATAACATACGT